CCCCCCCCCAATTTTTGCACATGTCGAGGAGCGTGTCAGGCTACATTTCACTGTGTGTTATACTTGTATAACTATGCATGTGACAAATAATAAAGAACCTAGAACACTAAGAAAACCAAAGAGGTCATTGTCGACTTCAGGAGGCACAGCACTGACTTAGCCCCCCCTATACATAAACAGGGAGTGAGTGGAGAGGGTCCACACCTTCCGTTTTCTTGGTGTCCTCATCTCTGCTGACATCTCCTGGACAGACAACACCACAGTGGTCATCAAGAAGGTCCAACAGCGGCAGCAGAAGGTTGGAGTACAAACTGAACTCCAACCTGCTGCTGACCTTCTACTGCTCCATTGAGAGCCTGCTGACATACTGCATCACAGTATGGTACAGCAGTTAGACTAAGGCGGACAGAGAGAGACTTTAGAGTGTAGTCAAGGCAGCACAGAAGGTCATTGGCTGCCCGCCCCTGCGCACGCGCTCGCACACACACACACACACACACAGAGAAGAAAAGCACACAAATCTTCAGTCTTCATCTGCAGTCAACAGTGGTCCGCCTTCTTGGATCCATTCCACCTGTCCGTGGACTCAAACTGTTCAGTTCAGTTGTATCAAGTCGTGGTGGGTTTTGCTTTACTAACATGCACCTTGGGTATAGGTAAATGGGCCCCTTGGCTATAATTTCTGACTAAGTATTACAGCAAAATGACCTGGGAAGAAGAATTGGACAGAAGAGCGGTAATAAGACTTTTAATTAATTTGAAACATGTAAACACATTTTTTAAAATGACTATTATGGTTATTGGTATTAATCTTATTTCGTAGCTCTTCCCCAGTGGGGTTGATTGTTAATTGAGTCAATTAACTGATAGCACATTGTGCTGCTGTCGGTGTTTGTGTTGTTTTCATGCTCAGGTCACATTTCATATCTGCCTATTTTTGTATTGGGTGTCTGTTATTTTTCTGCAGTAAATGCAGCAAAGTAAATCCTTGATAAGAAAAACTAAAAACTAACAAACTATTATAAATTTAAAGTAAAGTAACTTGATGTATGCATCAGCCCATCCAGAAAAATAATCTGGATGGGCTGTATCGCACCACAAGAGCACAGGATGGTGAGATCTGGTTGGCAGGGCCCAATTTGAGATCAAAAAAATCGCTTTAATTATAAATATGAAATAGTACGTATTTGTCCTGCCAATTTATGGAGAATGTTAATGCAAGGATTACCACAGTCAATTCACAGTAACAAAGTTCCTGAGTGTATTGTCCTGATTTGCTGGGGCTTCCAGGTATTCACCCACAGTCCAAAGACATTCCCGTTACTCTAATCCTAGTGATTGTAAATTAGCCGTAGGTCCAAATGTGATAGTGTGCAGTTGGTTGTTTCTCGGTGTTAGTTCTGCGATAAAATGGCAACATGCCCAGAGTGTTGTCTCTACTCTTGCCCCGTGACAGCTGGGATAAGCTCCAGCCCCAAAGCTACCTGACTCGGATATGTGGTTAAGACAATTAGCTGAATTTTTCATCCTTTTGGTCTTCTTGACATTTATTCAATGCTGACACTGCAGGCACATTTGATTTTATTTGTGGTTTTTGTTGTTACTTATACTCATAAAATGACAATTATAAGTATCATAGAACATCATTTTTAAAAGCACGTTACAAAATACTATGTACAGTTAATAAACCTAATGGGGTTATACTTAAAGATGAGCTGCTTTTAAAGTAACTAAATACAATTGTCACTCATTTACATAAATTGCAACAAATGTTGCACAGTGGGCATAGTTGGTTGTTGCTCTTCACAAAATACAGCAGAGTTGGGCCTGCAGCGAGCACTGGTGTGGTGACTGGGTGCTGGTAGGGAAGTGTTGGTAATAATTGCATCCATCTATCAAACCCCAGGTCAGTGTCACCACTTTAAATGACAGCATCCTATGGTGCAGCTGCTGACTGGGCATTGTCAGCAATGTTATCATGCAGTACTTTTGGAGCACTGTGTTGGAAATTGGCAACAGCAAAGAAAGAGGCCAGCAGCAGAGGTGTGGAGCTTGACCCGATGCTGTCACCAGACTAGAGACTGCAAAATAGCAGCTATAGGGTCAGAGATAATGCAATTCATCCTGGAGGTGTAAACATTACAGGTGTCACATAGGCTAAAGGAGATTTTGAAATAGTATTTCAAAGCTAATGACTAAAATATGAGCCTATAGCACATTTTATCTGGAAATTGCAGAAATACAACAGAATTAATTTAATCTCAGCAAAGTTGGTGATTTTGAATCAAAGTATGTATATTACAAAGACATTGTTGTTGGTGGGGACTTCTTATATCATGACACTGACGAGTTGTACTCACAATTTAATGAAATGTTATTTCACATGCTTCCCTGAATCACTGTGGCTTTGTTGGTCTTTGTGCACTCGTTAAATACAGAGAGTGCAGAATTATTAGGCAAATGAGTATTTTGTCCACATCATCCTCTTCATGCATGTTGTCTTACTCCAAGCTGTAT